GATTTTTTAACAGCATCAAGGTCTCAATCCTATAAAATGCCAAGAACCTTTAAATCTTGTGAACTCTCTTGGGAACCGAGAGTACTTGGCCCCTCACAGGATTCATTCCTAACTGTAAGTCTAGTTTCCCAGACAAGGGAAGTTGGCTTCTTTGAAACAGTTTCTATGCTCCTCTCAATGTAAACTATACACAATTAAGCCAGTAGCATAAGGAGAGAGGGTTATTCCTTTTCTGTGTCCTTGTGACAAGGTATTTAGCAGAATGTATAGATTCATTAGAATTTAGCAAGGCTGTGCTGTGAACACTTTTGCTATGTCCTTGAACTTGCAACCTCTGAGCTATTAACCGTGCAGCAAAGTGCCCATGCCCAGCCCCAGGATTATTGCTTCAAGAAAAGGATTTAATAATCCCTGGGCATCTTTAAAAACTATTCAAGACTGGCTTTTAAAAATATGGTAATAAATCTGAATTACCCTCCTTTGTTATTTGCTTTATTTTGTGAAAAGCTAGATAACTCATTTGTCCCCAGCTCGTTTGCATTGCTAATCCTTCAGCTTTTGTGCTTATAACCTGTTGCAGTTAAACAATCTTTATTTTCCTCTGCCAACAGCAGAAGTTGTTCTGCTTGATCGAGGTAATTTTTATGATTTCTGCTTTTCTTTCTGTTTTCATGTTTAGCACATCCCTTTCAAGATATTTCAGGTTCCCTCTTTGTTGTAATTAATAACTACTGGGAGCACCTGTACATGCTATTAGCATGCAGCAATAAGCTCTGGTACATACGGTGCTGGAGTTTATTGCCCCTGGGTGCACTGCTTAAATGCATGCCTAGGACCACGGGCCAGAGCTGGGTTGGAACAGTCCTGGCTGACAGGGGGCTGCAGAAGTCAGCCTGCCAGCCCAGGGCTGCTCCAACCTGGCTCAGTATGCTGTGGAAGGGCTGGCTGTGTGGGGGGCTAGCTGTCAGGCAGGCCTGACACTCAAGCACCTTTGTGACCCAGCCAGCCCCATCAGCATCTACATGTGTGATGCTGTGGAGTAAAAAACTCTGCAGCAGGGTAGTACTTGCATTTACAAGTACTACCTTGCTGCAGAGTTTATTATTTTCTTTTGGCCTAATAGGGCTGGACATGTAGATGCCAAGGTATTTACTGCAGAGCTAATTAGGCAACTCCTCAGTAGATGTCTCATGTAGATGCATCCATTTGGTCAGTCACTATGCACAAATTCTACAGTACTGGATCTGGCAGATTTCTTTCTCACTGCTATTGAATAAAAATGCAATTTAATTCACTTAGATTACTGCTGGAGTTTTATATGAAGCTGAAGATAAAAAAAAAAATTGGACAGAGTGATTTGTATAATTTGTTTAAAGTGATAATTCAAATTTTTGAAGAAAAACAATTGTGCTTTGTGTTTTGATACATGATATATCAAGTCAGAGCTAAAAACAGCTTATTTGGAAGGAAAAAACTGCAAATGCATATTCTCCATCCACATTTAAAAGGCTGAAAACTAGTTTTGCCCATTACATACAAAAATATTTGGTAATTGGTAATGTCAGCCTTCCTTCCACAAGCCTAATAACATTTTCATTGTTATATTGATCTTTCTATCAATAGGAAATTATAAAGACTGCAGAAAAGTGATATATATTCTTGATGACTGGTTTAGAATATTCTGTATGTGGTCTATTTTAATTAGCTGCGTTTGCTGTTGAGCTGGTTAACAATGAGTCCACTGTTGTTTTATTGGAGGACCAGCATACTTGGCTGAGAAAAATCAATAGCATAATGGAAAGAGCTAGCATTTACACATTTCTGAATAGCATGGCACTGCTTGTGACTAATTTTCTGTGCATGTAGAAAAAAGGAAAATTCTCTTTCACCAGTCATATGTTCTCCTGTAGCTGGAAGTATTTACTTTGCAACACATGACTATACCAATGTGAGGGATATTTACAGCTGCTAATTGAAAGCGTTGAGTTTTAAAAAAGGCATCAGACATTTAGAAGTTATTTTTAGCCTCTTGTAACAAGAAACATCTAGGGTTGCTCTAACTAAAGGAAACTAAGGGGGAAAGAATGTTTTGCATCCGATTGCTTGTTGTGTGCTTGGAGAATACATGCCAGCCTGGAGTCCTCCTCCTCCTGGAGAGACCTGGATACTACCATCTCTCCAATTTAGCCTCTTTCTCAGGGGCTCTAGAGGTCTGAGTGAGAGGTTCCAGATTAACAGTCATTCAGTCCAAATACACAAACACCCTAACAAATCCTTAACCTCATCAAACTGATAACCCTTATGTGAAGGGGTAAAAAAAATCCCTCTCCTGATTCCACATGTCAGCACATCCTTGACATCCCTTGACATCCCCAATCTGTTGTAGATGGAGTGCAGGGAGTCTACTAGAGTTCCCCATTTTGTGCTCTGTTCACAAGCCCAGCCCTCCAATGAAGTCTGTAGCAGTAAACCCTCCTTCTCAGACTAGCACCCAATACTAACACCCAACAGATTATTTCAAATGATTGTCAACTCCCTTCCCTAGATGGGTCAGTAGAGGAATTCAGTCCCATTCACTCTTCTTAGTTCCAGAATAAGACAGCTATGGACAGCTTTCAGAGAAGACTGAAGTTGTTGTCAAGGCATGCCTGCAGCCTGAGGCTGTCAGTGTACTTAAAAGGGCTAAGTGATGCTCTCATCAGCCAGTACTGGGGCAATCACATTAGCCAGGGATCAAAGTCAGGCATGGCAGTTCAAGAGCTCAGCTCAGCTCTTGAACTGATTGGCCAGAGGCCATGACAGCAATGTTAACCCTATTACATGTGCAAACATAATTCACTAGGTGAACGCAGGAATTTGACCGAGGTCCCCTCTACACATTACAGATACTGCACAATTAATTGATTAGCTGTGCAGTTACACGTGCAAAGTAGTTTTCACACAATAAACAGCTCTAACTCACTAAAAAGTTAAACCTTGAAAATGTGTACTAACTTTATAGCTAGTTGCTATCAAGCTTTAATGTCACCATGTGCATGCGTAGCAGGGTGTCCCCTAAGGCTGGGAGCCCTGTCAGGTGACAAGGCTCCCAGCTGCAGGGGTGTACCTTGCCCAGACCAGACTGATGGGGACTCTCAGTCCCAGCAGCTGCAGATTCTGGGTCCTGTCAGCACCCTGCAGCTGTGGGGATGCAGAGTCCCACAGTTGCAGATCCTGGGTCCCCACAGCGTGCCTCCCAGCAAACATCCAGGGTGAGAGGATTGGGATCTCGTGGACCTGGGGGTGTGAGAAACCCCTGCAGTAGGAGGATCACTGTGGGTGATCCCTGTGGGTGAAGGATCCTCCAGCCCTAGGGTTTTCCCATACCAAGAATACGGGATGGTGGGGGGTGAGGGTGCATGGGGCTCCCAGGTGCAGAAGATTACTTCTTGCTGGTGCAGGGGGAGCCTGGGATTGGGCTCCTGCCTGTTCCAGCAATAAGGTGTGATGGGCTGTAATGCACAATCCCACAATTGCACCTCCTGCCATGCACGTGTGGCATGGCAGGAGGTACAACTGTGTGAATTGTGCATTAGATCCAATTGTGCCTTTATTTGCAAGTGTAGAGGGGGCCATAGGAATCCACAGTCTCAAAAAACTTCTGATCTGTTATGGCTTTTGGGGGGTCTTTACAATAGAAGAAGTACTCTAGTATTATTCTGCAGTCAAAAAAGTGAAAGCAAAACAAAAAGATGACATTTTCCAGGGGGGGGTGGAGGTCAGCCTGAGTCTAAAACTCACTTTAGAACTTGTTATTTTGTACTGTATGTTGTTAAATTTACTGGAAATTACTTTCTATCAAAGCTGTCAGACACATGGCCCATGGGCTGCTTCTGGCCCATGGATCTGCTCCATCTGGCCTGTCACACTACCAATGGGCTAGGAAATTTGTGGGAGTAGCTAACAGTGGTGCTGGCCTGCTGTAGACCTGGTATTCTGGTGGACATGGCTATAAATCACAGGTGGCAAATGAGGGCGTTGCCAATAGAACCCAATTTGCCCCATTGCCACTTGGCCTGCTTCTGTTTGCACTGCCTCCACTACGACAAGTAGCTGCCTAGCCTGAAACTGCTTGCTCCACTGCCATGGTGGCTGTAGTTATCCCCACCATCATTACTATTGCTGTTGCTGCTGCTTCTGTGGATCTGGCCTGCAAGAAACCCTGTGGTCTGGATTCAGCCTGGGGCACAAGATAAGTTTGACACCTCAGTTTGTATTTTTTAAAATAATATAACACAATAGCAATTGGGGTCAGATTGGGCCATATCCTGATCTCAGCTACACATGTGCAATTCTCAGTAATTATTTCTTCTTCTTTTAGATTAAATTGACTTGGGAATTATCTTCCTCCTGTATAATATGTTATTACAGGTTTTCCCCCAAATTTTAAGTGTTTCTATACTAACACATCAATAATTTTTGGTGCTATAATTGTTTTAAAAAATCAACAAAAAGAAAAAACAAATTTGCAATGGTATAGTTCTACAAAGTGGTGAGAAATAGCTTGACACAGAATTATAGTGCAAATTTTTCCAGGGATATTAAAAAAGTGTTTCAAATAATGTCATAAATAGTAGAGAAATCAATACTTTGTTCTTTTGATTCCCCCTGTTTAGAATTCAAGCATAATTGTAAGCATTTAGCATCAAAGTAAGTGTCCGTTCCTTGGCTGCCAGCCACTTTTCAGCATATGGTGAACACATTTTGACAGTGCCAAAGTGCTGAAATATATACATTGCTTTTCTTCAGACATTATCTCCACAGCATGCACCATAGAAGACAAAGGATTAAAGAGCATATTGTGTGCTGGTTTCATAACACCTTTATTTCTCCCAATAATCTTTAAATCTCAGAACAGGTGGCTAAGAATGTGAAATGATTCATCTTCTGGACAAGTGACTCCTTTGCTCTTAGTGATCTAGAAGCAAATACTAACAGCATCATGTTCATCTGTATTATAGGAAGCAGATGAAGCATTATTGTGCAATCTGGAACTTCAAATTGAATCACAGTTCCTGCAGGATGATGTTAATGCCACAAAGGAGAGGCACAAGAAGGTAATTGCAAGGAACTCCCCACCCCTTTTAGAGCATCTCCCTAGGGAGGAGTTTGTTAGACTAGGGACAGACATTACACAAAAAACAGGTTTAAGTGATCAGAAACTGGTTTAAACTTGTAACAGAACAGATATTCAGTGCACATAAAGCAGTTTCAAAATGGCTAAAACCAGTTTGAGATAAACCTGGTTGAATGTAGTATCAGACTTAACTGATTTGGGTCAAACCAGTTTATGCAATGTCTGTCCCAGACCCCTTGTTGGTTTAAGTTAAATCAGATTCCCCCAGCATCCCAGCATGATCTGTGGGGTGGGCGCGGCTCTCTGCTCCACAGCAAGGCTGGCCCCTCTTCTCTGATCCCTAGCTGGAGCTCCAGAAGAGACTTGCAGTCACAGCAGGGTCTGCTGGTTTCTCCATGCCCTGCTTCTCTCCCCCACCCACCACTGCATTTTTAGGTATTACAGGCATTTTGAAATGGTTCAAATAAACAACATGACTCCAGATAAGTCTGGATCATTTAGTGAATAAAATACATTCAGTTCATTATCCATGACCAACAGATAGACTCTTGTCCAAATTAATTCATATGAAGTCAGCAGGTCAGAGTCATTAACATGATTATTTGTATCTTCATGAATCTTTTATTATCATTTAACTTACCAAATGGTCTTAGGACTGTGGCAGGCCAGTACGGGGTGCTCCTGCACTAAGCCACCCACCTCACTGCATCTGACCACTTTCCAGGCTCCAAGTGCCTCCCTGGGGGCACCTCACATCTGGCTGACCCCCTTCCTGGAGCACACCCGCTAGCCTGGGGGTAGAGTTGCCACCACCCAGGGATGGGCTTGAACCTGGCATTGCACCCCCTGGGAAACACAGGCCTAGTAGCCCTTGAGGGTACGTGACTGACTTCAAGAACTTGGGGTGCTTCCCTCAGTTGGAAGCACAAGTAGTGATTTCCCTTAGTTAGTCAGACCAAGGGGACCCCAAGGCATAATCTAGACCCACTCCCAATAAGTTTCCCACGTTAGGTACAAAGGAGAACTTTATTAGTTACAAGGAGTAGGTTTGGAATAGGGTACAGAGGTGAATAGTATCAGAGAAATCCCATAGAGCAAACAAGGTGGCTGGAGTAGCCTTTGATCATGCATCTGAGTTACTGCAAGCTATATATCTAGTTAGATCTCAGGTAGCTTACTCACAAGTATCATCCAGAGGCAGGTGGAGATTCCCTCTGTAGGCAGGCAGTTCCTTGATCATGAGTTTTGAATCAGAGAGCAAGTTTCAGGTGGTCCAGCTCTTCTCTCTCTCCGAGTTTTCCTCATGGCTGTTGTCCCCATCTCCTGGGCAGTCCTTAACTTATATAGATAGCCCTTATGACCTCATTTACCTGGTCCAATGGAGGCTACCACCTGTTGGCTGTCAGCCAACCAATTTGAAATGCATCACTGATTGCTGGGCAGACTGGCAGTCTCTAGCCCACCAGAGAGCCCAAGCCCCTCACCCAGGTATGGGATGCCAGTTACGTAGGCAGAGGGAGCAGGTTTCCCCCTCCCTCAGGAATGTATCCAGCTCAGGTTATCTAAAGAGATAGGGTAAGGTGTGTACCCTCTGCAGGGCCCATCCTAACCAAATTGTCACAGAGCAGCATTTTTAGGGAGAAACAGAGGTGGCCTTCTGCCACAAGGATCATCCTTGTTACTCTACTAAGTAGATACTGCTTTACTCATGTGCCTTACTATTTATTTTGTTGTGCAGCAGTATAAAGTGTTTCTAGATTCCATTTCTGTAAATAGAATAACTAGAGGATTGCAGGATGAGGATTCCACAGACAAACTAAGGATCCCAGTGGTAAAAGCAGTTAAAACTTCTCAGTTTATTGCCAGAGATATGAGTTTGATCCATGCTGAATTCATGCTGAAAGTTGCGCCTACCTGGTCCCTCTATTAATGGGTTGCTGGTCATACAGGCTGATAAGTCAAAGCTTGCTGAATGTGATGATAGCCACCTGACTACATCATAGCCTTATAGGTCACTAGGCATGAGAAAAACTTTGACTAGGCCTGTGCGAAGCAGCTAGTATTCGCTTTAGATTCAACTGATTTGGGGGACAGTGATTCGATTTGGTAATTCAAATCACGGCCCTAAATTGATTTGGCTGAATCTCTGAATCATCCAGGTCCATCCCCCCCAGCTTGGCAATGGCTGCTCCACCTGCCCCAGCTCTCAGCACTTTGAAAATAAAAGCCTCAGTTCACCAGGTGCTGCTGCTGTGTGTGTGTGGGGGGGGTGATCCCCATTGCCCCCCACTGCCCCATGCTGCATGGGAGGCTCTTCATGAGCCCCCCAGCCCCCCATGGCTGCCCTGCCAGCTATGGTTATGGCCCTTTAAGAAAAAAAAAACAAGAAAAACCCTGGACTCACTGCTCCTATCGGTGGGGGGTGATCCTCACTGCCCCACACCATGTGGGGGGCGTACGAGTCCCATAAGACCCGTGGCTTCTGCAGGAGCAGTGAGTTCAGGGCTTTTCTCTGTTTTTTTTTCTTAAAGGTCTGGAGCCATGGTGGGGGGCCAGC